AACTGGGAGCTCCCAGGGTCATGTGACCAAGTCTCCAGACAGACTTTCTTTACATCGGTATCTGTTTACACAGAACATAAATCACCGGACGTGGCTTGTTAGAGAAAGCGTATAAAGAGAATCTGAAACAAATCACCCACATTATAGAGATACAGTTGACATCAACAGGAGGACAATGCCCCAACCTAAATTTGCATGGAGCGTGGCACAGAATGACATGCCAAACAAGGCAGAAAGCAAAGGCAATGCCCTTCTGCAGGAAGCTTACAGCAGCAGGAACAACAAAAGGAGTCTAAGCCACCGAGCGTTATCAGATTCTGAAGTAGATGGATACCGAAGCTTCACTTGGATCTAAACCAAGTCATTATACATTCTCAATTCTAAGCCACAATCCCAGGCTAGTAGATGATTGCTTTCCAAGGTTTGTTGTTCAGTACAAGTTTAACATTAAGACCAAAAAGCAGGAGCCTGACATTACAAATGAGCTTGGCAAAGCAATCTCTAGGAGCGTACTGAGGAAAGCCAATTAGGAAAAACACTAACTGAAACCAACCTCCTAATACTTCATTTTCCTTTCCCAGAGAAACGGAAGAAACAGGTGGGAAACATTTTTGATCAGCCTTACCCCCTGCCAACAAATTCCTGCAGGAGGTTTGTACGAGAAATAAATTTGCAGGTTCACAGATACTTATTCCTCCTGACAGGGTTAATTAAGGGTGCACGGTACTCACCGTTTGCCTTTTTGTATCCGAGAAACATCCACCGAGTCCCTACTGAAAACATCAAACTCATCGTTCTGGAAAACGTTATAGCGAGAAGTGACTAGAGGAGTAGGGTCTGGCTTCAGCTGCCTGTCCAAAAGAAGGAGGAGGGAGAGAGAATAAAAACAAAGGTGAACTGAGGAAGACCAAGTCTTCTCCTCCCCGAGACCTTGGTTTATTCTTTGTCAGCCTCGCAGTCACCCACAGCATGTCAGGGTCCTTCTTGTGGCGCCGGCTCACAGCCGGCTATTCCTCCGTGTCACAGCTGCGCCACAGCGCAGGCACAACCGCTGCGTGACAGCAGTCTGCGGTAAAAGGCAGTTTTTGAGGCTGATCTTTGTGGGGAAACTACAGCAACTTACAGAATGCAAAAAGAAAGTTCTTCTGTTCACTTAAGAACAAGTAAAACTGTACAGCAGCACGGAATATTCAGACTGCCTGGTCTGAAACAGTGACTCAGTAAAGCCAAACACTAAGTATGATGAATTACATGCTGGAAAAAATTCCAATAATTTGCTGCTGTTGATTTCAGGATATTTATCTCCCTATGGTTCCTTCTTAATTCTTTCTCAGGGTTCCAGGTTTACATTTGTTCAACTTATAAGTCAAAAGACTGTTATTTTTACATTTGTTTTGTTGGTGCTGTTAGCTCAGCTGGGCATCTGAAAATGCTGCTGTGCTCGCTTCTCAAACCAGCAGTGATCAAAATTCTGCATTTGCTATTGAACTGACTGTTTTGTTTCAAGATGCAAGAGGCAGGGGAAAAAAAAAAAACCAAACCAGCCCTATCTTCTGTAACTGCTGGCTCTGCAGAAAACCAACCCCAACCTTTCCAAAATCCCACCCCACATCATCTGGGCCAAAGTCAGCAGATCTGACTCTGAAGGCATGAAGATTTGTGCAAAACTAAGATTCTTTCACAGAATTTTTTCTGATAAAGATGCTTTCCTTTTTTAATGCAACAATGAGACAGTCTGCCCGAATGGATATCAAACGAGATGTGAACAAACAGCACATTCACATCCTGACACTCAGAAACTGCTGTTGCAGCACAAACACACGCGAGCAGCTGCAGATGAACTAAACCAACTCGACTCCCCTGCCAGCTAGAAACCCTACATCCCACGTGCAACCCAGAGAAGCGAGCACAAGCCTGGCACGTTTGCCAGTGTGCAGATAAAAAGGAATCTGAATTGCCACTTCTAGTCTCTCTCAAGGCTGACTTCAATCACAGTACAGCAGCCTGTCAAATACAGTATGTGACCCTCCCCACAGGCCGAGTTTCAGCTGGACGAGTTCCTTTGAAGACACCTTTTCCTGCAGGACAGGTGGGATTTTAACACCTACCACCTCTCCTCTGCAGTAAAATAACTTTTGAAAGCAACACATTCTATTGCCCAGCCCAGGCTCAGCCAATGTCCCCATGGTGGGATTTTAATGGCTCTTATTTGAGTGTTTAGCGTACAAGGATTCCTGTCTCCCCACAAAACAACGCAGCATCTGCTCTACTGAAATGCTGACCCGTGAATGCCCTAGTCCTCTGCAGGGACACAAGGAGGGCAGAAAGCCAGCGGCAGATGGCGATGAGAAGCTCTCACGGCAGCTATTTACCCCAAGAAAATGCACATGCGACTTCTTAGAGCTCTGCAAGTGTCTAACCTTCAATCAGAACGATGTTAAATGACAACCCAGAAATGCAAGCCAAAAGGCTTCAAAGCCATGCAGAAGTTATTCCACACCTTGGCATTGATCGGTCCAGCTTATCCAAGTATGGCACCAGCTTATCTTCTAGAATGTTGTTGATCACTTGCTCCGTGTTGTACCCGTACTCTTCCAGGCAGGCCAGGATGAAGCCCTCCCCAAGGTCTGGCAGCAAGTCTTTCACTTGAGAGATGAGAGAGTCCAGCTCCACCCCTGACACCTTGGCAACGGGCGCAGCAGCTGCTCCGGCACACTACAGACACCAAACAGAACCGGGGGCATTACTGGACAGAGACAGCAGGGAGGGAAGGCAGGCACGTGCATTTAAAGGGAAAAAGGGAGCCTGGCTTATCAGAATTTAAACACAAAGAAGTCAAAGACTGAATCCAGAAGAGGAAAAATCAGCTTAGTTGTTCAGACTGCACAAGGCCTATGGCACAGACTTGGTGACAGAACTACTTTTGTCTGTCCCTGAGCCAGCAAGGACACTTGGGAGAACCCTTTCCTGAAATAACGTACGAGCTGTGCGTTTAAAACACATGCACAAGGAGTACAGTGACGAAGCACAGTATCTGAATGAACCACAGCCACAGGAAACCCAAGCCAACGGGAATTAGAAGCAGTCTGCCCAAACATAAAGCTGGGATTCAGTTGTAGCTTTGTTTCTCATTTCACAAGGCACATGGGGCTGCACTGAAACCTAGCAAAGGTAAGAAAAGCCCCCAGCCCGAGCAAACCAACCCTCTCTTCACAGACGAGTGAAGTACGGACAAAAAGAATGGAACCCACACACAGCTCTACTCACCTCATCCCCTGATGCATACGCAGCCCCAAGCTCTTCCATGTCCTCAGCAGCGCTCTCCCCTTCTGCTGATGCTCCATTAGGTGCTGCTGGGAGGGGATCTTTAGTGACTTGTGCTTTTTTCCTGTCTACCCCTTCCCAGGCGCTTTCCACTGCCTGGACAATGTAAGCTGTCCTGGTCTCATCTCTAAGAGGAAAGCATTAAGGATATTTCTATGTGCACTAATTCAGACCTTGTCTTGTGATTTTCAGCAACTCCCAAGCCTGTGCCTATGTCAACATTCCCCCCTTTTTTCTCTCAAAAAACCCCAAACACAAACCCCCATCACTCATTGCCAGCCACACAGCTTAACCCGAGGCAGCCACAGGGAAGTGCCACTGGCGTGAAGGAAACTAAGAGTAGCCAGGTCTGCAAAACCCCATGGTGACGGCAGAGGATACAGCGTGGAGGATGCTTGCTGAAGCAGGCTGACATCATCCTCAATGGGAAACAGCTCATCGTAGTCACGGAGAAATCTGAAAAGGCAGAAGCAAGTTTAATCCGTCGACCTCAATAAATCAGGCCTGTCTCACGCTGCCATCCCTGCCACGCCACTTGGACTTCCTCACTGCTCGGGCAGGAACACACGTAACCTCTCTTCCCCACGTAACCTCTCTCCCAATACCGAGCTGCCATCTCCTATTCTGCCCCCATTACACTGGAGCAACACTTCCCCCCAGGCCATCCGAGCCAGTCGCACCGCTCCGCGTGATGTTAAGACCTGTAACCCCGTGCCCCATTGCAGAGAAAATATGGTTTAAGACTTGAACGCGACCAGAACGACAGCACCGCCAGGAGGGCGAGATCAAATTCCCAGTTCTGCCCTTACTCACTCTGCATCTTCAGCATTAGCACTTAATGTCTTTCTGGGCTGTTCACCCCGGTTGAAAAGCATGGATTAGTAATAATAGCCTCACTTGTCAAGGCAGCTAATGGCTAAATTGCTATCCTCCACTTTGAAAGCCTGGATTAAAGAGAGTGAAGAATAACATTCTCCAGCGTCATGCGACACCCTCCTCACCTTTACAATCAAGCCTGTACTGCAGTCTGACATCCTCTCACAGCCGTTCTCCCAACCAGTTAGAATGATTTCTGACTCCCAAACGCACCGTAACGCCTCATAATAATGTCTCGGGCAATTCTGTTGTAAAGAATGGAAGAGGAAGGCAAGCTGACCCTCCCCTTGGGCCTCTTTCAGCCAGACTCACCTCCTTTCCTGAAGCACCGAAGTGAAGATCTGTAGAAATTCCTCAATAAAGGGCTGAATATTCTCGCAGCTGCAAAAAACAATGGCACAACAGAGTGAACAACTCAGTGGTAAACCTACCGCATTGCACAATCTCAGCATTCTGCCTCGCTAGCCAAACTAGTCACACTCACACATCAAAGGAAGAACTCATTTGAAAATAGATGACCACTTGTCGGTTTTTACAAGAGCAAAGGGTCAAAGGGAAAGAAGTTTCTTTTATGGCTTCAGCAAACAATTCATCCAGCAAGATCTGAAGCCCTATCACTGTTAGAATTACAAGACTTGAGACAGACTTTACAAATTATATTTTGATGCCTCAGACTTGCAATAAGCAGAAAAGGGCGTGTAGCACTTTTGTAATTGTGCTCTTATTATATGTCTTGGGATTATACCAGTGAACCTCCCACGAAGTATGCGCTCACCTAGGCAAGAACACACGCCAAGCAAACTCCCCTTGCAACCTTGCTGCTATAGCACCTAAACCGCCCACTGCTGCTGAGGCATCAAGCCCTCGCAGCGACACAGAACGCTCTCTGCAGTAGACCAGCGTTAAGAAAAAGGTGTTTCTCCAGGAACACATAATTTTCACAGTAGCCTCGGCTCTTGGCAAACTGGCAATGAGTTTCTGGAGCTGCCCTTGGCTACTTTTGAAGTGCATATACAGTCCTTAATGCCTCGGAATCTGAACATGTTACACTCCTTGGTTTGTTTATACTTTCAATATTCCAGCGGGTACTGAAAGGCAATGCTCAGGTAAGCAAGGGTAAGGCAAGGCTGCTGTTGCTCCTTTAAGGATTGGATTGGGTGACAGTCCAGGTCTCAATACAGAATTCCACCAACAGACCTTCCTCATCTTCTTGGACAACTTCACTGACATCAAACCAGGGAAAATACTCAAGCGGAACAAGAGCCACAGAGACCAGCAAGATACAAAACCTGGAACAAACACAGGCAGAGAGACTGCCCGAGGGAGCACTGGCCTCACAGTCAAGATCTAGGTTCTTGGCTCTGTCCCCAGCATGCAGAGTGATTTAGGGTCATTTCACTTCTCTCTTGTAAAATAAGGATAGTTATACTTGCCTTCATTTTGAGGCTACTCATAGAGCTATCAGTTAACAATTTTCACAACAGGAAGGGGGAAGAACTAGATAAAGACACCAGTATCTGGATTTGAAACCAGTTTTCAGGGATCTGTAACACTGCACCACTTCTATGGTGTCTCAGTCAAGGTGTCTTCACACACACCATTGGAATTTGCAACTCAGCCATAAACTGAGCTTAGAAAGCTCATTGGACCCAGCGTTATCCCACTCTCGTGGGCTCAACACACAGCTCACCACCAGTTCTGGATCATATAGCTTCATCTGAAACAATCCTGCTATGCAGGACAACAGACTTCAGATCTTAACCCCAACACAAATAGCAATATCCCTTCATTTCCTCCAGTAAATCTGAAAGCAGGGAAACAATCTCCCCGACAACAGCAAGTCAGAACTGGCTGGTACACAGTGTCCCCGTGTCAATACCTGCTTTCTAAGATGGGCTGCAGACAGACTTGGTTGATTAGAATGTGAAAAGCTTCTATCATCTTCTTTCTGGAATGTGAAATTCTCCTCCACAAATCAGCAAAAACACTGCAGAGAGAGTAAAAGGTACTGTTGGTGTCAGCACAAGAAGTCTGATTCTTTAACACACTTTTACTCCAGAAGTAACCGTCTAGAGGAAGATTTCATTAGCAGGCTCATCTCTTTGCTGCGAGGACCAGAGATCAGAGCTATTTCACAGTCATTAAGGCAAATCCATGCTCTAAACAAAGTTGGTCTCAATCACCAATTGTCCTGACAGCTGGACACACGAGATCGCCACTGTACCAGCACAAGCTGTGCCTTAAAATGAGACCAATCCATGCACAGAGATACCATTCGTGTTTCCACACTCTGTTACTATTTGAATGCTTCTCCCATCCAGTTTCTTCTTAGACAGCAGTGAAAGAAATCATTAGTCACCCCACTGCCCAGGAAAATTTGGAATTACAAAAGCCATCTCTTCAGAGTTCTTTGAAGCAGCACCAAAAAAAAAAAAAAGCCCACAGAGGCAGTAGACTCTACTGAGGTGGATAAAGCAGCACGACGGGAATTTTTAACTAAGCCTTGGGAAAGCCTTACTGAAAAGGGAAGCTTTTGCAGAAATTCTCACCTGTTATCCTCATAATGCCTCTTCTTAATTGCAGATTCCAGCTCAGGAATTGCCAGTTCATAAAACGAAGCTAATCTGTAGAAAGGGGCAACAAAAGAGTAACTGAGGTTTCAAAAACCTCTTGCTAAAAGACAAATCAAATGGTTAATTTCACTAAATTCTCCTCACGAGCAGAACCCCATTTTGTTATTTGTTCCCCGAAACCCAATCAAGTACATGTGCAATACACAACGAGCAGCACTCCGAGGAAAGCACGAAGGCATCTCTGAAGACAGAGGCAAAGAAGCAGGTTGGAAAAGCACCAATGTACAGAACAGAACAATCTGCCCAACCAACAAACATCCCAGGCACAAACTTGCAGTCTACAATGTGCTGACATGCTTGAGCGCATCCCAAAACACCTCCTCCCACTGCAGTATCCCTGTGGCCCTAAGCTGCTGCATGCTGAAAATTGGTAAGAAACAGGATACGATTTCCAATACAGTCCCACTGGTCTTGCTATTCAGCTCTGCTCTAGGTGCGCATTTAGATGAAGGCATCTGAAATGCAGAAAGCTTAAGAGGATGTTTTGGTAGGATGGGGCAGGGATGAAGAAGAAAGTTGGCTTGGTCCAGTTTTACGTGCCAAGCAGCCCACGCAAACCCTTTCCTTCAGGGACAGAGCACCCGGAGATGCAGAGAAACACCCCCGCAGCGTAACAGCCAGGACTGCGTCCTCAGCACTTGGATGTCACAAATGATGGGTTACAGCACTTTGTGCAAATGAACTGAGGAGCAGAGGCTCCATTAGGAACATTTTGTCCGTGTCTCCTATTAAGAGCCAAACATGTTAAATGAGCATCCTTGAGGCAAATGTAGCAGAAGCTGGTTGATAACTTCTAGTCAGGGAGAGAAATTAGCAAGTGCCAGCAGATTGACTCAGACTGGCAGAGGTTCCTAAAAGATGACAGGGCAATCAGTTTTCCCTCCCCACACTCCAAAGACCCAGTCATTAGTCCATATTGAGAAGTAATGAGAACGTTGCTGCTGTCCCACTGCACAGAGACCAAGACCATTTTAGCACATCTCTGACATCAACAGTAGAATTAAAAGCAAAAGGCTTTCCTCCTCTGAGTAACCAAGCGTGCAAGCAGCGCTGCTTGCCAGTACAAACAGCCACCAGCAGTCCACCAATCTGCTCTTCCTTCAATAACCAACTCCAAACATCCAAAGAGGACAGAAGCCTACACAGCCCAGAGCAGCATTACTCAGCCTGCGGTCCATAAACCACTGGCAGCTGCAAGACTTCAGAGGTCTGCAGCACGATTGGCAACAAAACACAAGTGTGTGTTCTTCACGCTAACAAGCAAACAAAACAGGGGAAATAAGGACAATAAATTAACACTTCACTCGGTCCCAAACAAAGGCTGTTAGAGCACGACTCTACAAGATGACCTGGGCGCCCAAAACACCTGGAGCAAGCCAGGTAAGCACCTCCGAAGGACTCGAAGCTCCTGTGCGAACACAGAGACTGGTCCTTGAGACCAGCCTGACTCATCACCACTGTGATGCAGTTGGACAGGGAATTAGCTGTCAGCCCAGATGTGATAGCGATGGCTTGTCAGCCCCTCCCAGGCACTCAACTTTTGCCAAACCTCTCTGATATTTTCTAGCATAAAACTTAAGCATAACAAAGAAATATGTTTATTTTCAGACCTTGACGCACTATCGCTCTGAAATACTTTCTACTTCCCTTGCTTCAGGTCCTATGACAGGAAGTTCTTTTTGTTCATAACTCTTTTCTGCTCATCCCTCTCCACCCCTGTCAAAGCACACCGGGTACTGTTCAGCTGGGTTTTGAAACGGCACTGGTTGCCCGGCTCTAGGATCACCCAGGTAGCAGACCGACTCTAGGCATCCGTACACTAACTTCTTTCCCAGGAGCCGCTGTACTCCTGCCAGCGTGAGCCTAGCAATCTCCAGCTGCATTAATCTCCACTCGTTTAACGATGAGGGCACCAGGGCAGCACACAGCAGCACATTGAGTATTTTCTCTTCGCCAAGACAAGCTCTGTCTGCAGTTCAAGGTGTACCTGTAGCAAAAATCATGTTTTTGGAAGGTCTGGCAAGCCAATGGGAAGACATCAAGAAACGCCCAGAGTGTTGTGCAAGTGTCACATAAGTACAGCACAATATCCTTCAGCTCCTGAGAGAGAAAGAGCAATTACTGAGAGAAAAGCCAGACAAGTTTTCCTAGGAACACAGCATAACTCATTAACAGGGACACATCATGTTCAGACCAAGCCTTTTTTCCAACTGCACAAAGAGTGTTTATGGTTGACGGCAGGCTCAACACGTCTCTGCCTCTAGACCCCGTTGTGACAGCATCCCTACTGAAACTGCTAGTTTTTAAACATCCATAATTTCTTCCCGGAGAGGGTGGGGAGGGACTGGGACAGGTTGCCCAGAGAAGCTGTGGATGCCCCATCCCTGGAAGTATCCAAGGCCAGGCTGGATGAGGCTTGGAGCAACCTGGTCTAGTGGAAGGTGGCCCTGCCCATGGCAGGGGATGGGACTGGGGGGCTTTAAGCTCCCTTCCAACCCAAACTATTCTGTGATTCTATGATAATACAATCCCAACTGCTCACTCTCATTAAAGATTCTGTGAAAGTACAAGAATCCTCATTGCATCCTGTTTTGGACAGTGGCTCTGCCCTCTATACATCCTCTGCATGCAGTATTCTTCCCCATCCTGCTGGAAGCACCGCATAGCAGCAATACTTCCTGTAAACTCAAGGGATAGTTCCGTGATTCATTCCAGTGCAAGATACACTTCCAGGGTATCTGTAACAACTCCCACATACAGCTGTATGACTAAGATTTTGTACAAGACTGCTCACTGAGATGGGGCCTGTCTTTGCACAGGATCAAAATTAAAGCACACTGTTAAACATTTCTGAAAAGCTCAACTCTGACCACTGTCGGGGTTATGTGGAGACTTCCGTCAGATGCTCGGTTATGGTACCTATCAGCTGGTTCAGCGAAAAAGACACCAGGGTTAACAAGAACCCATGATACAGCAGAGATGGTTGGACTGCACACGAGCAAAGCAACCAACTCGCAGTGGAAAGGCTTTATCATCAGGTCATATGACAAACAGTGAAACAATGACATGGAACCATGTGCTCTGTGAGCCACTAGTATGTGGGAACAGAATGACCCTCTGTGGTCTCACTGCTCCACGGACGGTCAGTCTGCAGGACAACAAACAGTAACGTGCAGGGCACAGTAGTTCTACCTGGAGGGGCATGTTTCCCGGAGTCACGTTTACTCTTTCTTCCAATTTCTGGGGCTCAGCAGAGGCTCCTTCACACTGCAAACCACACTTATGCAAAATATTGTTGAACACCTAGATCAAGAGAAGAGAACAGTGTCAGAACAGACAGGGGAAAGCAGAGAGAGATGCTTTATATGCAATTTGTGATTAGAGGGAAGGTGTAACAGACTCTTGCAGGCTGCAGCAGGAAGGGCCACGCTGCCTTTCTGAAATTCCATGTGACTTGTGTGCAATTTAAGTGCAGCTGCATGTGGCGGGGGGGCCGAGACAGGGCTGCAGCTCATCCAAATCTCAGCTATGTGAGGAAAATCAGCCAGCAAGGCCAACACTGGCAGACCGCCCGGGATCCCTATTCCCTGTTTGCAATGGGACTGGGAAGTTACCACCACCTCCTGCTTATGAGCTAGTCCCAAAGGCTTCCTGCCCGCTCCCCTGAGGTTGGCAGGACAGATTTTGTGGTTCTTGTTTATAAATAAAGATGTAAACAGTATCTTGGGGTGGTTTATTTTTGTGCACAGGTGAGCTTTTTGAGGACATAAACATGAGATTGTCAGGGTACAAAGATGCCAAGGGATTCTGACTCCCCTCTCAGGTTAAATGTGAAACCTGCTTCCCGAGACTGAGGAATATAAAAGCTGCTTATAAAATGACAGCTTAGACACAGAGAGGTGCTAAATACCTTCTGTACGGCAACAATGCACCCCTTCCACCAGATTTTCGTTTACTCCTGAGAACTTGCAGTGTTAACGCTAACCCATTCTACTATGTCAAGTCTTGGCTACCTCTCACGGCCTGTTTTGTTGGTTTGCGTTTCAGTGCTCGCCCTGCTTTGAGACGGGATACAGAGAATACTTTTTGAACTGCCCAGCAAAAATTCCTTGAGATTAAATGCGGAGAAGGCCAGAAGCTGAAGGTAACAGGGAAGAGTCATCAAGTAATAGTTTTAGATAAATGTTCAAAACCCACCTGACACACATCAGCACAAACTAGAGAAAGTAAGGACTAGCAGATACATTCTGCCTATGATGACATTTGCCCCCTTCCACCCTCTAAGCTATGCCACGGTTCCAGATGAAATCCAAGCCCCAGGCTAAGCAGGAAAGCAGTACCTGCAGGACAGTGGGCAGCGTTTCGTCTAGGTCACCGAAGTAACTTGGCTGCTGCATGAAGATATTCTCTGAGAAGGGGAGGGACACCATTTCTCATTAGTTCAGACATTCACGCCAAGCAAACTTGCACCAGATGTACTTGTACTTGCCGACAACCCCCTCACCCCCCCATAGAGCTAACCACCACCTAGGAGAGGGGCACAGGCTCCCTCCTCAACTCCTGCGCAGGGCCTACTCCTGTAAAGCTGGCCCAGCACCTCTCCAGCACCAGGCAAGGAGAACGTGCCCAGAGCCAACGAGATGTTAGATGATTCACGCCCCATCGGCTGAATCAATGAATAATGCAAACACTATGGCTAAACATCCCCGGTTCCTTTATTTGACGACTGGAGTTGACTTTTAATTACTGATAACAGTTCAGCATACACCAGAAAATGTTCTGCAGAATATTTCTTACAGGTAATGAGGCTTTAGTAATACCTGCTATTATGATACTAGGACTTCATTATCTTTACAAAATACTCCACTGAGTAATGGTGTACCATAAATCCTCACCAAGTAAGCACAGAGGCTGCCTATTTTCCTGTGAATTACTGTTCAGACCATGAAAATTAACAGAGTTCTCCAGCAAGGACAGAGCACGGGTATGAGTTACGAGACAGGTTTCACAAAAATTTATACCCTGAGAAGAATCTCAAGTTTATCAAGTTATGAATTACACACCAGAACTGCTCACACCATTGTTGTCACAATGTAATGCAAATAATCAGTTGAGCAAATCACTGGTCACTTGGTGCAGCACTATTGTGCTGTGCTCCAGAGCACGTGTAATTCAAATGAGGTTTCATACGCCTAGGTCTTCTTTGGAATATTTTAAAACCCAGATAATCTAAGCATCTGAAAGAGAACTATCTGTCTTGCCATGCGTTCTTTCCACCTCTGAGGCTTGACAGATGAATTTAGAGTGGAAGCTACTGATAAAGGATAAAGGGATTAAAAAATGCAAAGTTTTGTCTAAGCTTTTCTGGTCTGGAAATTTGGCTGCATCCCATGACTAACATGAGAAGCACTAGATATTGACTTGGAAATGAGACACAAATAGCTACCAAAGAAAGGTAAAAGTTCCATTACATGAACTGCAGACAAAGTGGGTTAGAATTTAGGAAGAAGAGCTCACTTAATCCAAGGTACTCTTCCATCTGTGCTCAGGTGGATGCTAAAGGACAGAAGTGGTTCCCTTGTGAAAGGGGCACAGGATAAATGCAGAAGCTACACCAACGTGCCCTGTCTTCGTCGGGCAGGTTCTGGCGTCCAAGGCTGAGACACTACTCAATACGCACTTGCACTAAGGCTGGCTGTACAGATACAGAGAAATCTAGGGATAAGCACAGATTGAGCAATGCTCTATTGTGGTTTGAAGGCACTAAATAAATCAATGCCTTCGTTGAAACTTCAAGTTCTCCCAGTGATTACCTCATGCTGCACCTTTCACTTGGCTCCCAACTCTGGGAACAGAAGTACTCATGCGATGTTGGACTGTGCCCCATCTTCTAACTCTCCTCTCCCTCCCTGTCCAGGAATTGAATTGTTTGCCCCTTCCCATCTCTACCAGGATTTTACAGAGCCCTTGTGGTCCTCTTACAGTGGCTGAGAACACATTTGATTGGCATGGGAAACAACTGCTGAGGCACAACTGAGCCTGGGTTGATGTCTAACGCCATGGCCCTCGCTCAGGACAGATAAGCATTGTGTCCTGTTGCTTTTCTCAGCATAAATAAAGTTCACAAGAAAAAAGTAATCTGACATTATAGAAAATTATAGAAATTATAGATTCTAGTTGCTACCGAACAATTCATTTTCAGAGCAGTAACACTGGTTTAAAACTCTACTCATCAGTTGCCATTACAGGAGTAAGCAAAAGCCTAAATGCAACAAGTTGTTCCTTGGTTTTAACTAACCAATCATCTTCTGGAGAAGGAGACCATTTCCTTTCCCAAAAAGCACACAGAGATCCAGAATCTTGGGGATGTCAAACAGGAAATTATTGTAAATAATTTCTCCAAAGACAGAGGGAGTGATAAAATGATCCTACAAAGAAAACAAAAAAGGTAATTTAAAGGATAATCCATATCTCACTCTACAAGAACTCCAACATTATAACAGCACCTGTAAAACCATCTCTCAAAGGTGTATTAAGGATTTTGTTTCATAGAAGGCAGCAGCTCGGCTTACACCAGCTTCCACAGAGCCCTCCATCCCCATGTTCCCAGCTGCTTGTCCCTGCCATCCACCACCCACCCCGCTGGCCTCACACGGCTCTCAGGGCCAGGCTGCACCACGAGGTGAAGCAACCAACCAAGAAGTGAAAACAAGAAGCTACCTACAGTTTGTTCAGTTCCTAGACCTGGCTCACGACATGGCCAAATAAATATCTGAGCTGACAAAAGAACGGCTCAGCTCAGGAGCAGGAATAAGTAACCAGGCATAGGAACAGTTTAACTGGCACTGATGCAGAAAAATAGACAGGGGATCACAGCCTGAGGTTACTGGTACCCTGGAGGAGTAGAATCACAGCACCAAAGACAACTGCACCAGTAGGAAGAAAATGCAGAAACTGAAGCATTATACCCTGACTGCTAGAACACTGTCAAAAACCCAGTCAACATTGAAGGAACGTCTTCTAAAATTCCAGATGACAAAAATTCCATCGCCTTTTAACACTGAGACAAGGCAAGCTGAAACGTGATTTCGGATTTTCAGAAGACAAATTTGCCTGTGATAGCAAATGTTTTCACTCACAGTGAAAGGCAGCAGGCACATTTCCCTGCTAACGCCGAGGGACGGGGCTTTACGCTGGCTAGGTCCAATTTCTAGAACTCCCGCTGACTGCCCGCATGACAACAGACTATTCATTCTCTTCAAATTACTCAACTATGAAATGGTTTCAAATGCCTGTCTGCCTCACTGGAGAGGTAAGATTTAATCAGACCCTGGAATGAAAGACACCATAGAGGTGTCAGTACTGTTGCTGAAGTGGTGCCAGTGGCAGGCTCCAGCATTCCTTCTACCTGTTCCCACCCCCAGTCCTCCAACTCCCACCCCAAGAACTTTCCTCAAAATGTCCTGAATGTCCCCATTGTGGTAATCAAGAGAAGCAATACATCACTAAATAACACATCATGAACCAACGAGGATATCAAGGGAGTAATTGCTGAAACACAAGGTGCCTCACTCATCCTGCCCAAAGGCCTTGTGAAAATTCCACAGCTCCCAATGGGAGCTGCACTCCCACAATTAGGGTTGAGTACATCTTTCAATTAAGATGCCAAGAAAACAGTAATTTAAAGCAATTTCATTGTGTGTCCAAAACTTGGGGAAAGTTCAAGGAGAGCCAAGTGTTAGCAGGGATTACGCGACACGGCACGGAGGGAGCGAGCGCTCAGCTACTGATGGCCTGAAGAGCCCCAGCTCCATGCGGCCGTACAGTGGCCAACTTGCTCTTCTTCCCTCTTACAGCCATGTTTCACACCACCACACGTGGCTAACCTGCGATTACTTCCTGGATTGCCTGGATCTCCATCCTAAGGAAGGGTTGCGTAGTTCAGAGAGCCACTCAGAGCTGAAGTATCAGCTCCATATGGAGACACAGACTGATGAAAACCGCCAGGGAGAGGAACGCGGTTGGACATGCGAGTCAGAAACACGATTAATTTCCCCAACTGTCTTTTTCCCTAAGCTACACAGCCCGGAGCACGTGCAGGATGGAAATATTTACCTTGGACTCCTTGTGAGTGGACATTCTGAGGAAAGTCAGGAAGACACACCTATGAAGACATTTCTGCACGTCATTCACCTCCGGATGGCAATCCAGCAGCGCGTCGAACTTGCGCGGGGCATAGCACAGGTAGGAATCCAGACACTTCTGAAGCGTCTCATCAAATATTACCTTGTACAAGGAGAGACAAGGAAACGGGAAGAAGGGAATGTCACACACTCGGAGGCTGCGCTCGTGGGCAACCCAGTTAAATTCAAAAGCAATCTAAAACATTCAAGAGTGCTAAAGGATTCACACATATACCATCAACTACAAGCAAACTATTAAAATCTGCAATGAAAAATCTATAGGGAAATACTGATTTCCAAGGTGCAGCAATTAAAACTGAAACGCTTGACAATGACATAATGAGCATATGCAAGTCTTCAGGGAAAACGATTTAAACTACTGTGGCTTTTACAAGCACTTTGTTCATGCTTTTTCTTCAGTATCTACAAAACAATTATTACCTGGCACCAAAATTTGTCATGAGGTAAAGCCAGAAGCCAGTTCAGGTCATCTGCAATGAATTTTGCTCGCTCCAAGAATTCTTCCACTAAAGCAGGGTCTCTGACAACAGGTGGTGGTCTGTATAGCACAAAAGACCGATCTGCTTTTATTTCTGGGTGCTGCAGGAAGCCAAAACACTGCATTAAAACTACAGGCCAAGTGACAGGAATGTCCAGTTACCGTCTGCGCTGCTCACTGAAGTTTAGGAAACCAACACAGGATTAGACTTTAATACAATTTGCTATTCCCTCTTTCAAGGCAGCAGATCAGTGGGTTTGTATCCTGATTTATCAGCAATGTTTTCAGACCTTCGTAATTCAGTAGATGTTGCTCCTTGCATTCTATTAACCAAAAGCCTTGCAAATCAATCCTCCCACACCTTCAAAACCAAGAGCAACAGCTTAATGTCTCGCCTTTGAAATGTGGCCTGCACTCTTTTTTCTCTGAACCGGTTCTTGCACAACATTCCACGAAGTCAGACCGACATGACAACCAAATATAGGGAAGAAACGTTTCACTGCCCTTTCCAATGCTTATGGAACAGGCTTTGCCCAAATACTCCCACCCTGGAAGGAGAATCACAGCGAGTGGTGAGCAGCAGCTCTGAGCTCTGCCTCAACCCACACGTATACCCAGAGTAAACCTCCTCACAGGTAAGCAGCATTAATGGCAGGTCCCACTTCTGCAACATGCCCAAAAGGCTTTCTCCATGCCTTCTTTTTGGGAGAAAAGGGTAACCTTGGATTTACTTTTCTGGCTTCACCAAACAGAAGCCGTAGCACAGGAGGTCATGGGGTGCAGTAAGTGGATGGACGTATCCCATTGATATCGCTCAGAGCTAAACCTCACGCAGTGCTTGCAAGAGCTCCCCAAGCATTCTCTCTGTTGCAGCAATGTTAACATTGCTAATCGAGCTGACCCTCAAGGTGCTGAGAGAGATGGTTTAGTGGTGGACAGATACGGTTGGACTGGATGATCTCTAAGGTCTTTTCCAACCTAGTGATTCTATGATTCTATGACCCTCGAAAGAATAAGGAGTTCTGGGAGAATGCGGTCTATTATAGATGTTGAACACTAAGTTTTCATTTACCCATCATTGCAATAAAATTCTCAACTATCTGAATGTGCTAAACCACAAAGAAAACAATTTCTTGATCAGGCAAGCTGACAAGATTTCATCATATCCTGGAAAAGGGTTAGTTTGCCCAGGCTTGAATATACGACAATTCTTCGTTAAAGGTTTTGTGTGGCTTTCAGGAAAAATGCAGCTCACCAGGGCTGGTAAAGTTCTCAGCTTCCCTGTCTTGGGATCCCTTTCTGTCAGCTGGAGTTCATCCAGAGGCAATGCTGGCATCGTGATGACTTGTTCCTGTCTTCAGCAAGCAGAAAAACAAAAGCGGTAGAGGATGTGTTTTACAAGGTCAGTCAACCAAAAGCCTAACAAAGGAGGCTACTGCCTTACTGTAACACACATACTGGAAATATATTTATACAGCACCCGAATGCCAAACCCTGAGGCAGCACCCAAGAGCCACCTGCCTCGGAAAACTGTACGCTGGTGCTTGTGGTGAAGCTGGCAGACAGCTAAACACCACACAGCCATTCACTACTGTCCCCTCCTCAGTGGGATGGGGAAAAAGAAGGAACATTCATGGGTTGGGATAAAGACAGTTTAATTGGACAGAAAGCAAAGGGGAAACAATAATAGTAATAATGATAAAAGAATTCACAGAGCAAGTCAACATGACCCAGCAATGTGCACTTGCACCCCAGAAAGCCAACTGTATCCACGTAGCAGCCTGGCCAGCAGGTCGAGGGAGGGGATTCTCCCCCTCTCCTCCACTCTGGTGAGACACCACCTGCAGTGCTGCTTTTTGGGTCCTTGAACTACCCCCTCCTGAGGTAGTCTATGCCAGGGCTGCACAGAGTCTCTGGGCCAGTCACAATGGGGTGCTTCTGCCATTCATCCTCCGTTAGACTCACTTCAGCCTCCACAATTAGCTGACGAGATCCCCTGTCACTCCAGAAATACAGATGGGTTCTGCCCCTTTATAGCTGGATGGCATTAGGGTACACCCTGCACCGGGGCCCACTCCCATGGGTCTGATGTGCCAGGCCATCGAATCCACACACCTGGCTGTCCCTCTCCTCCACCTGGCTGGAGGCAGGGCCCCTCTAGTGCTGGCCATAGGATTGTTACTCACTTCTTGTAAGTACAAACCAAAGTCCCTTTATTAAGATCAGAAATAAGATCAACCCTTCTACTCTCTCTGGGGAACTGCCCACTGGGAACTGAGCTGCAATTTTCCTGAAAGAATCCCCTTTTGTGACTCATTGCAGTTTTCCAGTATCTGAAGGGGGCCTACAAGGGTACTGGGAGAGGACTTTTTACAAGGGTCTGTAGTGATAGGACAAGGGGTAATGGGTATAAATTGAAATCAGGGAGGTTTAGATTAGATGTCAGGAAGAAATTCTTCACAGAGAGGGTGGTGAGGCACTGGAACAGGTTGCCCAGAGATGTTGTGGCTGCCCCATCCCTGGATGTCTTCAAGGCCAGGCTGGATGTGGCTTTGAGCAACCTGGTCTAGTGGAAGGTGTCCCTGCCCATGGCAGGGGGGTTGGAACTAGATGATCTTTAAGGTCCCTTCCAACCCAAACCGTTCTATGATTCTATGATTCTATTTTTCCTTGCAACCCAAGTACCCGTGCCTCGAGGGGCGAGGTAGATTTGCCACCCCGCTTCCTCATGTCCTCTCTGTGGTCACACAGATAAAACCACAGGATGCCCCATGGGGTGCATCCTCTCTCTTGAGTGGAGTGACCCTTAATAGCGGACACACTGGTTGTACAGGTGGGGAGCTGGACATATCCTCTTTGAGCTGCTGGCACTCCTGGGACAGTTTCTCCGATGGTTTCTCCACTTCCTCCCCGTAGGAAGGAAGAGAGACCTTTTCCATATTGCGAGAATTGGCCAGCCAATTCATCCACCATTTGCCCCTCTCCTTCCTTCCAGGTCGGTACTGCTAACGCATTGGCATACAACGATGGTGTGCTCCGTACAAACTTCTGCCACATGGGTCATGTGCACAGGACTTCATCTGGATCTCTGGATACCTGTAGGTCACCATAAATCACCTCCAGCATGGCTAATTCCCTCAGGTACGGGATACCTCTCTCCATGGTGGTCCATTTGCCTGGGTGACATATAACATCTTCCTTGAAGTCACCTCCAGAGGATGAGGCTTGTGTCCCTTTTCCAATTGCCTTGTCAATACCCCCTTGCCTAGACAGGGATCCCAGCTGCTTGGCTTCCCTACCCTCTAATTCCAGGCTACTGGCCCTGTTGTCCCAGCACTGGAGCAGCCAGGTGACAACGTGCTCACCTGGACGATGACTGAAATCTTTCGGCATATCTCATGGCTCGCTCAGGGACAGGGATCAGGTGGTTTCCGCATTGTTTATGAGTTCTGTCTCTTCCTCCTCCTCTTCTCATGATGGCCCTGGTTCAGAGCCTTCCCTTACTAAACGACCTTTTGCTCCCAGTATTTATTCTTGTGTATAGGGGTGACTGATACTGGCACGGGTTGGTTCCCTGGTCAGCTGCAGTGCCTGTCATCTTGTCCTCAGATCCAGAGACCCTCTGCCCCTTGAGAGTATTGAGCAGTGTTGACCAGGGCCCCGTAGCCACGGGCCAGGCCCCAGCACGTTGCAGTGATTTAGGTGTCTATGGAATTGCCAGCGCGACAGCAGACTCTTCCCAAATATTCCACTAGCGTTTCAGGATTCTGCACTTGCTCAGAGGTGAAGATCCAGAACACTGGAAGTGCCCACTGCCCTAGGCACCTGCCCATACTACTCCACACACCCTGCCACTCCCAACCACCCAGCCTCAGCACAGACCCCTGGGTTCTATTCTTAAATAGCTGTTTAACCTTAAACAGGACCTGAAACACATTCAGGAGACACAGCAATAGGATGTGCTGGTTTGAACATCCCAAGGACATTCAAAATTCTCCAGAGCTATTGTAACTAACCTGAAGAAGAGAAAGATAAAGGAGCCCGGGAAAGTATCCCCCCTTATCTGCCCCATAGACTGGTTCTCTGAGGAGAAATGGTAGAGAGTGTTATCATTAACAGTTCCGGAGAGATGGTTCCTGAAGTACAGAGATGATGGCAGTGTCAGCATACAAATACCAGATTAGTCTCAGGACTGGTAATTTTACGTATGTACAGCAAAACGGTAACAAGTATCCAGAGGTGATAAACAGCACAAATGGAGCATATACAGCAAGTAAGGGGTTACTCAACACAACCCTGGGAACAAGCACAAGTCTGAGAGCAAATAAACCAACCTGGTGACCAGTGGCTATTGAACTAATACAACGAACACTCCTAACAAATGTGTTTTAACACATTCTGGTCAGATCTGTCATTTTCTCAACCCTTCGAGCCCCACGTTGGGCACCAAAAAAGACTGTTGTGGTTTAACCTTGCAGGCGGCTAAACACTACACAGCTGTTCACTCACTCCCCACCAACAGTGAGATGGGGGTGGGGTGGGAAATTGTAGGTTGAGATAAAGACTGTTTCACAGGACAGAAAAAGATAAAACAATGATAAAAGAATACACAAAATAAGCAATGCACAATGCATTGCTCACCACCCACCAACTGATGTCCAGCAGTGCCCGAGCAGCGGCCTGCAGCCAGTTTTCCCCTCGTTTATATACTGAGCATGATGCCATATGGTCCAGAATGTCCCTCTGGCCAGTTTGGGTCAGCTGTCCCGCCCGTGTTCCCCTCCCAGCCTCCTCACTGGGAGGGCAGTATGAAAAGCTGAGAAGTCCTCGACTTAGTGTAAGCACTGCTCAGCAGCAACTAAAACATCAGTGTGTTACAACCCTGTTCTCATCCTAAATCCAAAACACAGCACTATACCTGCTACTAGGAAGAATATAACTATCCCTGACGAAACCAGGACAGTGCTCTATTTTTAACCTGGGTCCTTACCGAGATGTCATAGGTATCTTCCAGGACAACAAAAAGCGTTTTGGAACACTGTTTAATATGGAAGCTTGATATTTAAATCTGGTTCCTCAAGAGTTGGGCTGAACTCTCTGCTTTTGCAGTCGCTTTTAATGCTTGCAGTCTATCTCCTGGGAGTATCAACTGGTGAGGCAACCGAAAGACATCCTGCCAACATACTATTAAAAGAATACTTTTGGTGCTTACGTGGCAGAATCAGCCAGTACTCATCCGGATAAGCCACACAGGGTGAACCTACAAAACACAGCCTGCCTTTCCCCTGCCAATTCCCACGTGCTCACAAAACCACGTTTTAATCTCCAACAGCATTTTACAGATCAGAAATATTTCAATTAACTTTCTGAAAATAACTGTAAGTCAAACTTTAGAGTAATTCAAAAGAAAGTATGTCGTCACCAGCATTGTTAATTTCAGATACTGATAAAAATTACAGGTTAACAGAGCTTTCGTTTCTTGGGGATTTTATAGTACTATGATTTCTGAAGGTGGTATTAAAAAGTTAACTTCTTAAGACCCAAGATCACATTTTTTTTATTTAATTGCATTCACATTACCTGGGCAGAACAACAATTCTAACAGGAGAAGTGTCCCTACAGCTGAACAGCACTGAATCAGGAGCAAGATCATGGTTTAGACAGCAAGCGAAAGAGCAACAGGTTTTGTTCCAGAAAATTTGGCACCTATGGATTTAGGCAAAAATCATTTTAGTGTTTGATCTATTGGAAAAAAAAAATCATACTAGATCAACACTAATATACAGCTTAGAAAACTTGTAATTACATCTTTCCAAGGGAGTTTAAAGATTAGAATATTGACAAGAGTGTTTTCTTTTTTTCTTTTTTTTTTAATGATAGACAATTTCTTTGGAAAAAAACAATTCTCAGAAAAATAAGCTGGTTTTTAGTTCTCATCATATATTTAATTTGGCTCTTAGAATTTCTAGAGTGGTTCTGAAAACTGCATACAGAAACATGTATTTGCAGCAAGCCAAACAAATGTGAAGTGTCTCATGTCAAGCCCACCAAGCACCAAACCCTCCAGTCCAAATCAAAAACATCGTGGAAGAGACAGGCCCCCTGACAAAAAGCTTGTTCATCTGCAGAACAGAATAAACCTGAGAATGGAATATCCTCAGCACAGAGAATCATCCCCAACTACCATCATATGCTTTCCCCTCGTCCGGGGCCTTGGCCTACACTACAAGGACACGATTAATTCATCATACCCTGCGATTTCAGGCACACAGCATAAAAGCCGAACAGCCCTACAAAGAACACAACGAACCAATCTTCTTCCAGGGAAACTTGTTC